GTAGCTCAGGCTGCCCTGGGCCAGGGCCGGTGTAACACCCCGCTTATTAGAGTAAATTTTTCGCAACTTTTACTTCGAAAATACTTATACATCTTTCGAAACCTTTTGCGACTATCTCGGGATGCTAGTCAAACTTATCTTTTTTGAAAATCCGTTTATCTTTAAACTTTATCTAATACTACTTTAGACATAAAGAAAACAGATTTATTTAGACTTGCATTTAACTGTACCATATTCATACTTCTGAAATGGTGAAAACCTAAAATCTGAAATTTATTAAAATGCAAGTTCAAGTCTTAATATGCATAGCGGAAATACTTGAAAACGTGATTAATTTTACAGACATATCAAATTCATAATAAATGTCCACTGAAATAAGTGCACGACCACCACCACCACATCTTGAGCTCACATCTCCGGCCCGACCCTGTTACCTGAAAAACACAATGGGGGTGAGTACTGATTCTCTTGTACCCCGAGATCACCCATACTAAAGTAAACAACAATAATAATATAATATCATGATCGTTGGTATATATCTGGACTGAAAATCTGTTCCAGTAACTTAAACTGAATCTGACCGATATCTGATCGGATACTTGTGCACAATCAGATGGATATTTCTTAAGGCAACTGAGGACCTCCATCAGAACTTAGGATATAATTGTAAGGCAACTGATAGCCTTCTCATCCCAAGCATATAAACTTAAACTGTATACATAACTCGGACATGATATCAATATTATATGTAATACCCAGGCTGGGTCCCCACCTTTCTTCTTTAAAAACTTTTGAAAAACGGTAAGTACTGTGCTGGGTAACTGTATCTGCGAGTTACATAATAATATAAACAAATATACTAAGTACTATGCTTGTATACACAATAAGATACTGGAATTCTTAACTCTAACGGATAACTTATCCAAATCTTAAAGAGATTCAATAGACATCCTATTGCTCGAATGAATATTAAGTCATCGAACAACTTAACTTTTCTTGAACTTTTACTCAAGGTCAATTACTTAACCCATACAAATCATGTCTTCAAAATCATAGATATTGGCTTATACTCGCATGTCACTTAATTACTCGAGTGTGAAAATAACTAAATTTCACATTATACTTGATTGAGTACATAAACTCAAAACTTGTTTATCTTTTACCAACATCATATTCATGATTTATAAAACTTTTAAACTCATCTTAAACTTACTTGGTACTAAAATCTCAACTTAATACTCATACAATTCAACTTTTAATCATAACATTAAATTATGATCTTAATATGCTAGACATAAATACAATCTTTATAAATTGCATACTCAACATATTAAACTAAAACTTTGTCAAATTTCTCATCACTTATATGAGAATATTTCATAATAATCTCACTTTAAAAACTTGATCATATAATGAATATTCTTGCATATAAACTCATCTTTACATATATGCCATCTAATTATCTTAACTCATTTATTTCTCAACTTTAAATCATGAAATTTAACAGTCATATTCTTAACTCATAATTAGACATGTCATAAAAATTTCATAATTTTAACATGCATATACATCGAGTTATTAGAATTTAAATTCATAACTAAAACAGTGAACATAAAATTCAGCTTGCATGCTTAATTTCAAAAATCTATAACTCAAGCTATACTATGCCAAATAACTTAATTCTTGTTCTTATGTACTCCTCTTTTACACAAGAATTACTCATTTAAATCATACTTTTCCAGCTTATTATTATCCTTATCAACATCTCAATCAAATCAAGCATATATATCATATAATTAATCTTGAAACAACTTTAACTCCTTGTATTCATAGAATCAATTATAACTCAACTTCTAAATCATGATATATATATACTCATAAACATCTAAACTCATTATCAAAGCATGAACTTTAGTATAAAACTTTAAGATAAATAAATTACCTCCTTCTTGCTAGAAATCGTAACTTGCTTCTTCACTTCCAAATTCCTCACTTTACCAAAATTTCTACTACTTATTCTTTCTTATGAACTTATATAACTTTTGGTAATTCTCTTTGGTGTAAAAAATCTGAATTTTTAGCCTCTGTTTATAGGCATAAATGTGAGACATCATGATGGAGTGGAGAAATGAACAAAATAAACAAATAAAACTTATAAACATTATTAAACATAAACTAGTTAATGACTAACTTGAATACTTCTCAAATTCATAATTAATGCCTGAAAATGAGCTCTGGTTGAGATCACAATCGAAATCTAAATAATCAGACCTTATTGTTAGTCACACGACTCGTGTGACCTCACACGACTCGTGTGGCTAAGGTCACACGACTCGTGTTCCTTGTCACACGACTCGTGTGGACAAGCCGAAGCTAACTATCCTTTTCTTCTCCTCCCACACGACTCGTCTTGTCACACGACTCGTGTGGCTTCACACGACTCGTGTGGCTTCACACGACTCGTGTGGCTCATTCCACACGACTCGTGTGGCTTGTTCCTTGAACAAATCTTAATTATGAACTTATAACTTTATACTTGGCCTCGAAATTAGTTTAATCTTGGAACTAAAATTGGCACTTTATTAATAACTGAATGGGATATTACAATCCCCCCCCCCCCCTTAAAACTATTTACACCCTCGAAAATACTAAAACTGAGATACATTCCTACTATGTATATATCAGAACTCGAAATCTGGATAACTAGTGCTAATATCAACTTCTCACTCCCCAGTGTCATCTTACTTTACGTGGCGATTCCATTTATACTCACGAGGGGAATATCTCAATTCCTCAGCTTATGAACCTTTCGGTTCAAAACTGCTATTGGCTGCTCTTCGTAAGTTAAATCTTACTAAAACTGAAACTCATTGTGCAAAAGCACATACTCTGGATCGAACATGCATATACGTCGAGTTATTAGAATTTAAATTCACAATTAAAACAGTGAACATAAAATTCAGCTTGCATGCTTAATTTCAAAAATCTATAACTCTAGCTATACTATGCCAAATAACTTAATTCTTGTTCTTATGTACTCCTTGGTAAAGTGAGGAATTTGAAAATGAAGAAGCAAGTTACGATTTCTTTCTTATGAACTTATATAACTTTTGGTAATTCTCTTTGGTGTAAAAACTCTGAATTTTTAGCCTCTATTTATAGGCATAAATGTGAGACATCATAATGGAGTGAAGAAATGAACAAAATAAACAAATAAAACTTATAAACATAATTAAACATAAACTAGTTAATGACTAACTTGTATACTTCTCAAATTCATAATTAATGCCTGAAAATGAGCTCTGGTTGAGATCACAATCGAAATCTCAATAATCAGACCTTACTGTCGGTCACATGACCCGTGTGGCATGTCACACGACTCGTGTGACCTCACACGACTCGTGTGGCTAAGGTCACACGACTCGTGTGACCTCACACGACTCGTGTGGCTAAGGTCACATGACTCGTGTGACTCAACACGACTCGTGTGAAAAATCCGAAGCTAACTATCCTTTTCTTCTCCTCCCACACGACTCGTGTGCCTTGTCACACGACTCGTGTGGCTCATTCCACACGACTCGTGTGACTTGTGCCTTGAACAAATCTTAATTTTGAACTTATAACTGAATACTTGGCCTTGAAATTAGTTAAATCTTGGAACTAAAACTGGCACTTTATTAATAATTGAATGTATATATATATATATGTATATACTTAAAATCATAAGTTAAATAAAATGTGTTATACATTAAATATACCAAGTTACCTCAAAGTCATAGTTAGGTCTGTAAACGAGTCGAGTCGAGCTCGAGCTCGAGCTCAGGTCCTTAATGAGTCGAGTCGAGCTCGAGCTTAGGTTGCTCGAGCTCGAGCTCGAGTCCTTAATGATTCGAGTCGATTTCGGTTCGATAAATAAACGAGTCAGAAATGGAGTTCAAGCTCGGCTCGTTAAGGTCTCGAGCTCGACCGTTAATGCGTCGATCTCAAACTTTAATGAGTCGAACTATAGAAAATTACATAAAAATTCTCTTTTCGAGCCTCATCGAGTTGAGCTCGCCAAATAAGCATTGGATGAGCTTGAGCTCGACTCGTTATGGCCTCGAGCTCGGACAGAACTCGAGCCTTAACGAGCCGAGCTGAGCCAGGTTAATTTAACTTAACAACACTAGTCCGAGTATACAGTGCTAACAAAGACTCGTAAATGCATAAAATCACATTGCCATGAGAACATTCGGGCATTGGTGTCACCCTCTATGTTAATCTCACTACGGGCACAGGCTAACGCCACTATGACATAGAAGGGCAATCTGCTCACTTCGGCAACGACCATAGATGTACAAAGCTTCCTTCTTGACGATCTCGCTGCACAAAGTGTAAATGGTTGCCTCCCATAGGCAGCTCGCACCGTCCAAATAGTCAGCAACTTTAGAAGTAGACATGTCACGTGTCATCCTGCATGTGGTAGACCCTCTAAAAGCTCACCACATGTCCATAAAAATATTATTATTATTTTGTTTTCTCCTCCTGTAAATAGTCATACCTTGTTTTGGAAAAGATCATCGAAAAATCAACAGAAAAATCCTTTAAGCTATCAATATCATAAAAGTTACGGGCGTGTTTGTTTATAAATTATTTGAATTTATGCTAAAAACTCTGACTTAACTTGAACTCAACTACATTATCCTAACGTCTCATAGTAGATCACAGGCTGAGCCTTGATTCAAGTAAAGTTTTCTCTTTGAGAGGCCTACGTTCCAGAGGTAGCAGAAAAATGGTTGGCTTAAATACCAACAACTACGTGGCGTGATCTTTACGTTTAATGCGTTATTCATCTACTTACATAATTTTAAATAATCATCACTTCATATTATTTTTCTTCTACTTTTTTATTAAATCAACTTTAATTATTTATTGTAGATATTATTTATTTAATTAATTTTAAATATTATTTTAGTCGATAATTTTTATGCATTTTTATTTTTTGGTCTTGTATCTATATTATGATTTTTCCGGTTACCTATGAAGTGGCATCTACCATTTGTCCGTTAGCACACGCTAACTCCGTTTTCCGATCGATGGAGAAGGGAAAAACAGACAACCTGTGGCTCTTCAAATCAATTTTCTCTAAAAGGAGCAATGGCAGCGAAGAGAGTGCCGACGCCCATGCCGCTAACGAGAACGTCCCTATCTATTTCTTGTCTTCTAATGCTAACTCCGTCGCCTTTCGTTGCTCCAAGTACATTGAATTTTCCAATAATGTTTGCAGACACGTACACACAGGCACACCATTTTGATTGCGTATGGGATCCATTCAATTTATCCTGGTCTAATGGATTATCTCTTTCGATTAAATAGTCTACACAATCTTGCTTTTTATCAAGTAGCTGATTCTCATGGCCCCAGTAGGAAATTAATGTGACAGAGTCGAATAGAGTGATGTTTCGATGCTTGTAAAGCTGTAATGCTTAAGGAGTGATGGTGGACTAGGTCAGTTTCACTGTATAGTGTATGCACTACTCTGACCATCCGTAATCCTTGTCCTATGTCAAATATTGTGCACCATATAACAGTTATGATGATTGGCAGACATTGGATGATGCTTTTTTTATATTTCCTTGTTAGTTTGATGATTATAACATTGTGCTGAGTATGAGTTTTTTTTTTTATTTATTTTATTCTCACTGGCGTCTACTGGTTGTAGGATTCTTGGCATATCAACAGAAGAGTTACAAGAGCAATTTGATTTTGAGGTCCCTGATTACTTTAGGCAACCTCCACTACGTGCTAGGAACTTTGTGGAGTTTTGCTCGTATAAGGCACTACATATGGTTACATCACAACCCAATTATCTGAATGATAAGGACTTTTCCCGGCTGACATTTGATATGATGATTGCATGGGAGGCCCCTGGCGTTGATAGTGATCTCATTCATAGTGTAAGTTGGAAATGATCTTCTCCTTCTTCTTCTCCTCTTTTGTGGCTTGTCATGACTGTTATGGTGCTGCAGGAAACCGTTTCTTGCGGCAATCAGGATGTGGAGGGTGAGGATGGTTGGTCATTGTTCTATTCCAGTTCCACCAAAATGGCTGTTCAGGTAGTTTTATTATTTTAGGACACACCTATGGATTTAACATATCACAGTAATATGTTCCCTCAAATTATACTATAGGATTGTGTACAATGAAATGTCATATTTATTCAGTTATCTTGTTGACAACATAGGTTGATAACAAAAAAACTGTTGGGCCAGAGGCTTTTGCTCGAATAGCACCTGCCTGTCCAATTATTGCAGACATTACCACAGTTCACAATCTTTTTGATGTTCTGACAAGTTCTTCAGGTCCCCGGCTTCATTTTTTGATATACAACAAGTACATTCAGAGTCTTGAAAAGTATGATCATTATCTTCAGCAATTTTTTATGTAACTTATTATATACTTTTGCCCCATCTTTATCTGGAACTTGACGTAAAGCAGATCTCAAACGGTTGAGTTTAATTGCTTCCTATCAACTTATATCTAGTCAGCGAATTTACATTTTCCTTTTTCTTCTTCTCCACAACATTTTCTTAAATTATCTTACATTCATAATTCTGAGTTCTGATACATAAAAAGTCGCTAAATTAAAAATTCTGGTGGCCCTGTATTTCCCTTTTCATGCGTGGATAGAGTTAGATCCAGTTTCCTGTCTAGTTGCGTTGGCAAGTGTTGGAAGTTATGTTTGTTCCACAGATTAGTTATTGGACTATTATTGTGTATAAGTGTGCGTTGGACACCCTATTCCTTAGAGCTAGCTTTTGGGGATGAGTTCTACCTAAGCCCATTTATCATGGTATTAGAATCAGGTTTGTTTGTTTGGAAGCGATGTTTGGTTTGTGCTCGGCCCAATTGGTTTTGGCCCGCTGTGCATGAGGGCTGATGTTAGAAGTTATGTTTGTTCCACATATTAGTTACCGGGCTGTTATTGTTTATAAGTGTGGGTTGGGGAACCCTCTCCTTTTGAGCTAGCTTTTGGGGATGAGTTCTACCCAGACCCATTTATCACTAAGGACTTTAATCAGCACATTTATGAAAAGGGGTTTGTTTTTTTTACCTTCGTTTGCCATAGCTTTGATGCCATTTTTTCAGCATATGGAGAATACTCCTATATGATTGTAGCAGTTAAAAGTTTCTTAACTTTTGAAAAATGGTTCATGAACTTATATTTATGTACTTAATAGCTGGACTTGATAGAAGCATGATGTAAATGAGGACTATGCAGTTGAATACGTAGAGGCTTGTCGACCCGTATGATATATGTTCCTACTTTTTTTTTGTTAGGGTCGCAAAATTTATGCAAAATGCAGTGGGACCGCATGTCCTTTCCAATCTCCCACTGGCTGATGGTGAATTTATTATAGACGTAGATGGCACAGCTCCCACCCAGCCGGTTTTGCAACACATTGGGATGTCTGCATGGCCAGGTAGCTTTTATTTTCTAACTCAGAAGCTGATGGATACAGCTAAACTGGAAAAGACCATTGCCAGCTTTTGTTAAGACTAAGTTATGGACATATAAACAGAGAGAGCACATTAGGAGTCATAACTCATTTTTCCCAACCAGTTATATGATGACATTCCATGGAATTTTCATCCTTTTCTCACTGTGAATAAGACATAAATATACATGCTAAATGTCACGTAGTCCTGATCTGATTTTCAGAAAATTAAGTGTCTAATTTTCTGAATATTTTCATACAATTTTGTTGATTGCAGTTTTTGCTTCATTTGTAAAACATTTGTTTAATTTTAGCTTTAGCAGTCTTGATTTTATTTTTATTTTTTACTCTTTTATATTGATCATTTAACTTGTTCCAGGGCGTTTGACATTGTCAAATTACGCTCTTTACTTTGAGACTGGCGTGGGTTTATATGACAAGGCTGTAAGGTATGATTTGGCAACCGAAATGAAGCAAGTTATAAAGCCGGAACTAACTGGACCCTTAGGTGCTCGTCTCTTTGATAAAGCTGTGATGTACAAGTCAACATCCATGTATGTTCACTAGGTAACTGTAGAAAATTAGACTGCGAGAAATTTGAATGTCGCCTGACTCTATTCTTTTCTGTAGAGCAGAGCCTGTCTATTTGGAATTTCCAGAATTCAAAGGTTGCTCAAGGAGGGACTATTGGTTGGATATCTGTCTAGAGATTCTCCGTGCACACAAGTTCATCAGGAAGTATAATCTGAAAGAGAATCAGCAGTTTGAAGCGCTTGCTCGGGCAGTCCTTGGAATATTTCGGTTCCGTGCAGTTAGAGAAGCCTTCCACATTTCCTCGTCTAGTTACAAAACCCTGTTGTGTTTTAATTTGGCTGAGAGTCTTCCTGGAGGAGATATGATATTGGAGACCTTATCCGGTCGCTTGACACTTATAAGTTCAACTACTAGTGCTGGTTATCATGATTTTCGACAACGTTCCCCTAGCGCAAATAGACAGCAGTTATCTCCAGCTGCTCTCGTGACACTTATTAGGCTCAAAATTGTTTCATCACAAGATTCACAACAAAATAGTGAAGCAACATATCGCCAAGCTGGAGACATTGCTGTTGGTGAATCAAATCCCTTAGAAGCTGTCGTTAAGCAGTTGAAACAGGATACTGGGATGGCTGAAGCTGCTCAAGCAACTGTTGACCAAGTCAAAGTGGAAGGAATTGATACCAATTTAGCTGTGATGAAGGTGTCTTTCCTCGAATACTTAATGCGTAATTCATAATTCCGTTCTCCTAACTGTACCTTTTCGGTTGGATTTATGAAATTGCTACCTAATAGGATATTCTCATCAGTCATTATTGTCATAGTATGAATCTGCATACATGCATGACATACCTTTTTATGTTTACACTCCACCTTTATGTGTTACTCTAGCTAGAAAAGTAATTTGACGGTACATGAAATTTTCCAGTGTATGTCCTAGTTAAACATTTTGGTTTTGTCAGTATTGTTTAAGATTGTTAATATACAACTTCTTCCTTTTTTTTGTGCTTTGACAACTGTTCAGTGTTTATATGTAGGAGTTGCTCTTCCCTGTTATTGAAATGTGTAACCGGCTAAATCGTTTGGCTTCATGGGATGATCCCTACAGATCAGTGATATTTGTGTTGTTCTTCAGCTATGTGATAGTCAGGTACAAGAGTGTTATGTTTCCATTTTCATAGCGGCAGTAAAACTTTTCCTACCATGTCTGACAATCACCAACTCTTCATCTAAAATAAGAACCAATGGCTGGCGGCTATATTACGCACATTTATCAAATCTGCACTGTTCTTTGTATGGTCGCATGATCATGTGCTTGATCTTAGTCCCTAATAGCTGATTCTCAAAAATCAAAATTCAGTTGTTACTTTATAAGTGATCTAACTAACATCTCAAAAATTCAACATTATGAATTTCAGGGATTGGGTCAGGTACATGTTACCATCAATTTTCATAGTCTTGTCACTTGTAATGCTCTGTCGCCGTTACGCTTGGAAAAGAGTGCAACTGGAAGCATTCAAAATTGTAGGTCCGCCGAATAAGAATCCAGTAGAGCAGCTTTTAACATTACAAGAAGCTATTACCCAAACTCAGTCTCTAATCCAAAGTGGCAATATAACCCTTTTGAAATTACGAGCGTTGCTTTTTGCTGTTCCACCACAGGTATTATTACTTCTCTGCATATTTGCTGCTCGATTTAATTTTTGTAAAATTATTTCCTCAGGATGATTTACGATCCAAATTGTTTGTTTGTCAAAACCTCATGTTAGCATAGAAGTTAATACTAATGGTTATTGCATGTGTCATAAGCAATATTCTGAAAACCGGACCCGGCATGTACACCGGTCCGGTTTGAGGAATGGAACTGCTCAAGCCCGAAACCGGCTAAAGTTCAAACTGGCAGCGGTTTGTCCGGCTGGGCAGTCCTGTGCTGTAGCTCGTAAAGGAGAAGTAGTAAAATCACTTATATAGCTGGATTTTTTTGCTTGTTACTCCGATGTGGGATTTTAAGTTTTAACGAATAAAGAGTTGCTGAAATATTGGGCCGTGTGTTGGGCCTTACAATTTTGTCATATGAATAGTTTTGATCCTGTATGCATTTAAAGTCCAACAAAGGTCATGGTACTTGTTTTTTAGAATTTCCTTATATTGTTTGCTGAAATTTTCATATCACTTGTTTTTCAAATCAAAATGCATTTGTTCATTAATTTTGTATCATCTCATCACTTAAAATTATCAATTGAGCTAATTAATTTAATCAGAATAATTTTAAAAGACTAATTTTGCTTATTGGCCTTACTAATCTATCATTTGAATAACTTTAAATATATGGTGACAACTGATTTAATTTCTCGTCCATTATACTCACATTCATTTTTATGAAAATAATATTACTTATTAATATTATAATATCACGGTAGTTAAAATAGTTAGACTATTCAAGATATTTTATTATTTTTTCTTTTATTTATTAAGAAAAATATCACTAGACACTATAAAAATAATGATAAAAATATATACAATTATATATTATACATATAAAATAAATAAAATTTATATTTTAATTAAACCGGTTCGGCCGGTTCGACCACTGGTCCAACCAGTGAACCATTGAACCGGTAGCCTCACCGGTTCGATGACCGGTTCGGTTTTCAGAACATTGGCTGTAAGTAGGTTCCATTCTTTGGTGATGTAAGAAAATTGGTTTTGTATCGAGATTATGACTCCATTTTTCAGATGTATTGAAAGTAGACTGCCTGATTAATATTATTTTTTGGACTTTTCAGGCAACAGACGAGCTGGTTCTCTTGTTGGTGGTAATGGCCATAGTTCTTGCTTTTGTACCAACAAAGTATCTGATATTAGTTTTGTTTTTAGAGGGTTTCACAAGGAACATGCCATTAAGAAAAGAAAGTAGTGAAAGAGGGGTGAGACGGTTGAGGGAGTGGTGGATCCGGATTCCTGCAGCTCCCGTTCGGCTTACAAGGCCTGATGACAAAAAGAGAAAGTAAAACACGTATAGTTTTTCCAGCCTGAACCCTGATTGAGATTCCATTTGATGTATTTAAATTTCTCACCATGAACAAAATTTGCTAAAATGATTGGTTGAGATGCAGGGGTACTGAATGGCGTGCGCTAGATTTCGTAGGCTTAGAGCATCTCCAATGGTCTTTCCATTGCTGCCACATGACATAAAAAATCTGACGTGGCCTGAAAAATGTCTAGAAGGCTTTCTAGATGTAGAAGTCCTTCTAAACAACTTCTATTATATATTATATTATTTATTCAATTTATCTTTCTTCTCCAACCAATTACAATTTTACACATCACAAATGACACTACAATTAACACTAACCATTGGAGACAAAAAAATTTAATTCCCTTTCTCCATGTTATACATAACAATCTCCATTGGAGATGCTCTTAGGTGAATCTCCACATTTTATATTTTGGAATGGAATGTAATATTGCAGTTATGAAGGCTGATTGTGTTGGTTTATATACTAAAAGTTTGGCTTTACTACGAGTTTATTTTTGTTTGAAGGAGAATCAACAGTTCATGATAAGTCGAAAATATATGTTTCTATTATAGTAAAATTTGGACTATGTGTTGGATATTTGTGCTTAAGTGACGTGTTTTCGACTTTATCATGTGTCTTCGAGTAGAAACTACCTTTGTTGATATTTTTGTGCAGTTAGATCGCATGGTGCACATATAACCAACATGGAAGCACTGGGTTTTGTTTGAACATGGCCATGTCAGTATGGGCGGACAGTGCGTAGCTTATTATTTGGACGTGGGCCCGTAAACACTAAGCCCAATAGAATTAAAAGTCCAACGATAATTAAAGATGAAGAGATCAGACTTTGAAACCTAGACACTACGTACAGTAGCCGCAAGGAACATACAGAAGAGATCTTCGAGCGGCATCTTAATCCCTCACTTCTCTTTCTTTATATTTTTAATTATACTTTTGCTAGATTTCATGCAAGCCCTGCGCGGCTAATTATCTTTTGCTACGGTTGAATACGATTGAAACCTCGAACTTAATACTGTGAGATCTAATTAGTTTTTATCTATTAATTCATATTTCGTATTAATTGTTTTGTGTGTTTATGTTTATGATTTTGTGTTAGGATCGTAGCCTGATCAACTATTGTCTTGTGCACTTAATCTATTGCTTGGTAGATATTGAGTCGGATTTAGATAATTTATCTATCGTAAGAAGCAACTAAGTGTGGTGATTGACCGGATTTAGGCGTTATCATTCTTAGGCAAAATAGTTATACAAGTTAGCATTTGACGGATTAGTTATTTGTTGCTTGTGTTGTCGGGCTCTACTTCTTAATGCTATTGCTAGGATAATTTTACACGATGTTTGGAATTGTCTAGTAATAAGGGTTGTGTAGAAGGATTTATTTTGCATAGCCAATTTAGGAGTCAGAATTCATCATTCAACGGCATCTGCGTATTTATGAATTGATAATATTTGCATCGAGGATCAATAGAATAATTCGGGGTGGAAATCAGTTCAACCGGAGCACTTTAGCTATATATTCATCTTCATGTTGCTGTTATTTTTGAGTCTCTTATTTAATAATCTTTTACCAATACTCTCTTTATTTTCTTGTTAATTAGACAATTAGGATTATAAATCATATCTCCCCCATTTTAATCACATAATTAAAGTCATTTGATTAAATCATTCCCCGTGGATACGATCCTTGCTCACGCTACTACATATTGTTAAGCAAGGTTAATTTGGGTGCCTACGACAGCACGACTAAATTTTGGCGCCGTTGCCGGGGAATTATTTTAATTAAATCTTTGATTGTTTGATATTATTATTATTATTATTATTATTATTATTATTATTATCATTATTTTTTTTTATTTTATTTTATTTTATTTTTCTCTTGTCTTTTCTCAGCTATCTTTTACTTCTCTAACAGCTTGGTTAGTTTGATTTTTATTTTCTTGGCAGTTGATGATCGGGACGCGTTCGAGTATTCCCGAAAATATTCAATTCGACCCAGAAATTGAGAAAACAGCTAAGAGGTTGAGAAAAGAAGCAAGGCGGAGGGAAGACCCTATAGACAAGGGAACACTTACCAGCTTATTCGAGATTGTCAGTGATTCGGAAGAGGAATTAGAAGAAAAGGACTTGGACGTGGTCCAGATGGCGAATGCGAATAGAACATTAAAGGAGCTGGCAGCTCCTAATTTGGATATTCAACCCCTTTGCATTTCTTTCCCTGCTATAGATGATAACATTACTTTTAAATTGAAATCTGGGCTAATTCATTATTTACCTTCGTTTTATGGTCATGCAAGCGAGGACCCATACAAGCACTTGAAGGAGCTTCACTTGGTTTGCACGAGCATGAAGCCGACGGGTATCACAGAAGAACAAATCAAGTTCCTAGCCTTCTTTTTTTTATTGAAGGATGCGGCTAAGGATTGGCTTTACTACCTTCCGTCGGGCTCAATTGAAACATGAGAGGTGATGGAATGACTTTTCCTAGAGAGATACTTTCCGGCATCCCGAGCTGCCAACATACGTAAGGAGATATGCGGGGTGCGACAATTACATGGAGAGAACTTATACGAGTATTGGGAGCGTTTCAAGAAACTGTGCGCGAGCTGCCCGCAACATCAAATTAGCGAGCAACTACTGATCCAATATTTTTACGAGGGCCTGGCATTGATGGACAGGAACATGGTTGATGCTGCAAGTGGTGGAGCTCTTGTCGATAAGACACCGGCCGAAGCGAGTCGTATAATTGCCACCATGGCGGCTAACTCACAACAATTTGGCACCCGTAACGATGTGACACTTAAAACGGGGACGGGAGCAAATAACTCTATTGTAGAGGAAAAGCTAATGGAACTGACAACTTTGGTGAAAAAATTAGCTACTGGAGGAACCAAGCCCGTGAAGCCTTGTCGAATTTGTGCTACCACCGATCATGATACCGACTCTTGTCCCGTGATTGAAAATGAAATCGAGGCACATGTAAATGCGGTCGGTACAAATGGGAACTTTCCCAGGAAGCAGCAATATGATCCATTCTCAAGTACATACAATCCGGGTTGGCGTGATCACCCAAATTTGAGGTACGGGAACTCGTTTTACCAACAGCCCGGTCCGAACCATGGTGGGGGTTTCCAGCAACATCCCCCTCAATTATTTCGCAGACAACCACCACCCGAACAGCCCCCGAACCCTGATTCTGGCACCTCGTTAGAAGACATCGTGAAGCAACTTGCCTCCAGTACTCTCCAATTCCAAAAAGAAACCAAGGTGAGCATCCAAACCCTTGAAACTCAAGTAAGCCAGCTCGCGACCTCTGTGAATCGGTTGGAGACACAAGTTAGTGGAAAGCTCCCTTCTCAACCTGAGGTAAACCCTAAGAATGTGAGTTCCATGATCTTAGTAAGTGGCAAAGAGTTGGAGCATATAAAGGAAAATTCACACGCACAGTAGTTTGAAGCAGCAGGTTCGGATAACCAACATGGCCATGTCGCTGACCATGTTCATAGTAAAACTGAACTGGATATAGAAACTGACTTGGGAGCAGAAGAGAGGAACAAGAAGGCAAAGAAGAAGCCGACCTATTCCGAGTACAAACCAGAACCACCCTTCACACAGGCATGGGTTCGACATGAGAAAGACGGGCCTATCCGAGATATTTATGAGACGTTTCGAAGATGCGAGGTGAACATCCCATTGTTAGATGCCATCAAGCAAGTGCCTCGCTATGCAAAATTTTTGAAGGAGTTGTGCACCGTTAAGCGTAAGCAGCAACTCAAACGCCGTGAGAAAGTTAAGGTAAGTGAGAATGTCTCTGCTGTTTTGCAACGGAAACTTCCCACGAAATGCAAGGACCCAGGTATGTTCTCAATTCCTTGTGTCATTGGTGGAATGCATTTTGAAAGAGCTATGCTAGACTTGGGAGCTTCTATTAATGTAATGCCATATGCAATTTATAGTTCTTTGAAGCTCGGACCTTTATGTCCAACTGGGGTAGTCATTCAATTGGCGGACAGGTCCAATGCGTTTCCGAAGGGTTTGGTCCAGGAAATTCTTGTTCAAGTTAAAGACCTGGTTTTTCCAGCGGATTTTTATGTTCTTGATATGGAGAATAACAATGCTGTTACTTCTATTTTACTTGGAAGACCTTTTCTAAAAACGTCTAAGACCATGATTGATGTGCATAATGGAATTCTTAGCATGGAATCTGATGAACAATTAATTAAATTTAATACATACAATTCTATGAAATATCCTGGTGATGATGAATTCGTACTCTCTGTTGACTTGGTTGATGATTTGGCTCAGGAATTTTTTTTATTTTCAGAGGATAATACAGTGGGGGACGCCATTGGCAATTTAGCAGACAACTCACTACCTAGCATTGCCCCAGGTCAAGCCAATGAATCAGACAAAAACGTGATCATGGATGATGGTTTAGAGACCAATGCTAAAGGTGAGTTTATTGGTATTTGTTCTTTCGATACTAACGAAAAATCTCCACCCTCTATTTTGCAGACACCCGTCAAAGAACTGAAGCCCTTGCCCAACCACGTCAAGTACATATTCCTGGGAGAAGAGAGCACATTTCCAGTGCTCATTTCGAGTAAGCTTACCAAAACTCAAGAAGACGAGCTTGTGAAAGTTCTCCAGTCACACAAGCAAGCGTTGGGGTGGACCATCTCGGACATAAAGGGAATAAGCCCCTCAATTTGCACGCATCACATTTTATGGGAAATAGAAGCTGAACCTGTTCATCAACCCCAACGCTGCTTGAACCCGGTGGTGTTGGATGTCGTGAAAGCTGAAGTCCTGAAGCTTCTGGACATGAGTGCAAGCGGTGAGCATAGGAAACTACAATTTCAAGAATTTGAAGAGATGAGAAATGATGCCTATGAGAGCACTAAGATCTACAAAGAGAAGACGAAGACTTTTCATGATAAGCTGATTTCGAGAAAGCAATTCGTGGTAGGGCAAAAAGTTCTCTTGTACCAGTCCCGTCTTCGACTGTTTCTAGGGAAGCTACGAATGCGATGGAAAGGACCTTTTGAAGTCAGCAAGGTCTGTACGCATGGGGCAATTGAGATTCGGAGTCCGTCGAGCTCGAAGCCTTTTATAGTCAACGGACATCGACTTAAGCCATATCATGAAAATTTTCAACCCGAGCATGAAGAAAGAATGGGTCTCGAGGAAAACTCTTAAGCAGTTTGAAAAAAGGAAAACTCTTCTCGGCAGCTCCACTTGAACACCATCTTCTTCTTAAGCAGTTTGAAAAAAGGAAAACTCTTCTCGGCAGCTCGAGCAATGAATCTGCTCAAGCCCGCAATCCTTCCCGTTAATACTTGGACTTCTCTAATGTTCGCGGTGGAGCCATGTCGAGTATGGCCTTCA